CTGGGGGGGGTACATGTAGGGGCAGGGAAATGAAAAAAGTAATTGAAATAATGTGTTCGTTGTTATTTTCTTTTAAAATTTGAAATACACTTCCCAAAAGTCTACCTTATTAACATAGGGTTTTAGTGCCCAATACCGCAGGTGAGACTATGTCTTCAGTTTGTGGAGAAAATACCGTTTTCGGTTTTGGGGTTTTCTCTAGTTGCCATAAACAATACAGACGCATTGGAAGCTGGGTGGCAGCAGGAAAAAATGGTACCACAAAAGTCTCTGAAATGACTTTCTTCTGATTTTGTCGACTTCCATGTGAGATGTCTCCCCCTTATGTGATCTTGTGGTCTGCTGACGCCATTAAGTCTACTCCCAGTCGTACTTAGTAGTTGTAAGGTCCCTACTTTCTCTTAGGCTAAACTAAAAAATGAATCCATAGGCGTTTGCGAAAAAGTTTTAACGTTGTCATATATATGAAAATGTGTGAACCTGTTTTGAGTTTTATGTTTTTTTAAACATTTTAATCAGTCTCGTAGTGGAGATGAGAACTGGGGGGATTACAGTCGTGGTGGTAAAATGAAAAATGAAAAAATGAAAAAAATGAAAATTAAAACTGAAAAGTGGTTACTAATCAATTAGACCGCTCCTTTCGGTTTTGGATATCTGTAGGTTCTATCTTGGTGATTAATGGAAATTATTGACGTTTTTAATAAAATTAATTTTACTATTCCCGTCTAACGTGTATCGTGCGCCTAAAGCATAGCTTGTAGCGCCTCGTGCTCCTGTGTGGGAATATTTTCAAAACACTTCCAATCTTTGCCACTGGCTCTAGTTCCCGCAGATATCCCAGCGTGGGAATCTCATCTCATACATAGAGACAAAAATGTTGCTAGATAGTACTCTCGGAGTAAAAGTGACAACAAAATGCCACAGGCAAGGTAATTATGGATAAAATATAACAATTATTACTATAAAGGATGCATTAGGCGAAATCAAGAGTGTATTACATGTACAACGGCAATGCTTTATTCTCAGTCTCGTTATGTGTAAAATGGCTTTTTAATAACTTCTTCATAATTGCGAATGGATATAAAAAGACATTTGTAGCTCGCGGTGAGGTAATTAGTTTTGATTTCAGATTCACAGAGATCACTTTTCAGACCATCTTGCGATCTTAGATACCAAAACCCCCATACTGTTGTCATGGCAACGCCGAATGTGATGAGCATATAATATATTCTATGGAAAACCTAAGGAGATTAAGGACTCACAGTTGTAATCAGAAATACAGTTGAACTGAAAGAAGATAGATATATCTCTAAAAATCGGACGACAAAGCATGAAGCTTGAAAACACCTCGGTCGTGGAATTTTCTCATAAATTCTGGTGTCTTAGTGCTTTGCAGCACATAGCTAACCCGGTGACCTCCTTGCTCTGACGAAACAATGGCTATTAAATCTTCCGAAAAAGGTAAATATTTAACTTGGGGTAGCTGTGAGCAGAAATGTCTAGCTCTTGTATAATATTGAGGGCCATGAACATGTATATATTTGCTTTCGCTTTTTTAGCCTGTCCTCAAAATAACTGTTTAATTATTCTGAGGAAATCCGCAAGAAAGTCACTTCTGGATTTTTTTTCTCAAATGTGAAAATGAAAACGTAATTGTTGGTGGAATATGAAGTGCGAGTGATCAAGCTCCATTGTTCCCGGCCTCCGTGTTCAGTGTGGAAATATCGGCAGTAGATCACTACCCTGGGGATCGTGTGCTGGAATCCAACGTTTTATAACGAGCTTTGACATACACATCTTACACGCTCACTAGATCTGGTCGTTATTCAGACTGCTTGTCCAACCGTCCAGCTGTCTGCCTAAATCTCTCTCTCTCTCTCTCTCTCTCTCTCTCTCTCTACAGCGTCCCCTTTCAATTTTCTCCTTTCCTGCTCTCCATCTCTCTGGAAAGGCGCTGTACGCGTACGCGCGCGCTCGAACACACACACACAAACACACACACACACACATGCCCGACTGCGCACTATAGACGTACATGTATGTAATTGTAAAGACACATACAAACAAGGGCAGGTGAAATATCTGAATGCTAAAAACACAGGGTGTTCATTTCAATTTAAGAATAACGCTTCCCTCGCCGAAGTATATTCATGTATGAATCACAAGAAGCAGCGCCGCTAACGTATTTTTCAATTTCCATTCCATTATTTATCGTTTCTCGTTCCTGAGATTAAGTCACGCTTTTTTATCATTACTTGTCTGTGAAAGAGAATCGCTTGAGAAGCAGAGAGGATCTTAACACTGTGTTATACTTGGCTGGGTTGTCAAGATGTAAAAGGTAGACTTGTATGAAAGGGGATGGTTGGAGTTGGGGAGAGGGGGGGTCTTTAGTGGACCAGCGGTACAATGTACCCCTAGAAGACCTGGGCCCTGGGCAACAGGGGGGGGGTAGAGGGGGTCTGGAGGGCAGGAAGAGGATGAGAGGGGACAACTGCTGCAGAGATTTTTGAAAAAGAAACACAAAACGCAAAAATTAAGAAAACAGCTAGAATGGAATACTGGTCACGAAACTCCCAACACTGAAAAAAAGAAGGAAAAAATTCACGCGGATATTGGTTTGAATATAACCCATGTTTAAGGAGAACCTTGTCCTCAAAATATAGCCAACGAAACGCATGCGTCACTGTCTAGCAGTTAAAAAGAGGTATTGTTGTATGTATCAGACTACGAGGCACAAAATTAACAAACATAGTGATTTTGGTAACGAAAACGGAGCATGATATTCCACAGAATATTGCATTTTAGCCTTAATAGCATTTATTTCAAATGTCAGCCCTATTGTAAGCAAAATAGTATTTGTAAAGAAAACAAGGGATGAAATCAATAGCAGACGAAACATAATTTAACATAATTAACCATGTTCTTGCTATCAACCAAAGAAACAGACGATCCACGTCGCTCATTCCAATATGACATACACCCTGTGTTTGAGACTGTCCACTGTTGACGGCAGAGGACGCTCACCAAATTGTCTGAACTTCAGGGTAGCACCTGAAATTAATGTTCTTTCCACGAACCCGTCAAGTAAACCGAAACTATGACGTTAATTTCACCAAGACGTTAACATTTCAAGCACAGTTGAACTGATATGTAGGCTATAATATTGAACATTAGAATGTTCTTTAATATTACATAATACATTTCGGGGGCCCTCTACGTGGGGTTCTCTGCCAGATCCCAGCTTAATTATGACGTCAAACCTTCTATCTAGAGACTACAGAAATGTACACAACCAATAAACACCCAGAGAAATATCCGTGAATTGAAGTGAAAAATAAAACCCTGTGACCCTGTTCGCGGCGTCTTTATGGAGGTGAAGGTATATAAAAAAACACTTATATTTATGCACCCCGATCACGGGCACCTACATCATAGACCTAGTGAATGAAGCTCATGTTACAACTGCTTTATCTCAAACATCTTCCCAGCATCCTGTTAGCTGCGAAGAACTTGAGAACTACCAGATGTAGAAAGCTCATGCACCCTGATTATAAAAAAATACTGAACACTCGATCACTTCCGTCTTTAACAGTGAAGCTCGGTTTCCAGTTCCTCTGAAACGCAGGGTGATCACCTGGCCTCTGAGATATCCCCGGATTAACAACACTACTTTTGAGTTAAAACTGTGTGTCATATTTTGATAATTCAGCTTATTCCTAGCACAACGTAATCCCACGCAAGCCCACTAATTCAGCTTAAATTGCCTTGCTGTCGAAGTCTTAGAAATCATGGGTTCCTTGCTGTAGGATGAGGCACTCAATATTCAATATGTTATATGTTCTCGCGAACTGAACAGCGATCAATTGTGTTGAACACATGATTTGCACATTTGGTGACTTTCTGAAAATATTCTTATGATATTAAGGATAATAACCAAAAAACTATACAAGTAACTAAGTCTACATCACAGACTGGTATATAAGTATATTGAACAAGCGGCCCACTTCTTACTTGACCTTGTAAAGACCACCCCTTTTTTCTGACCAGCACTACATCTTTACATAGAATAATATACCTAGATTTTCGGACATCCCACCACTAATGGGCATTCATTCAAGAGGGAATGTTTCTAGAAATATTAGCCATGTAACGCCTGCTTTTAATATCATAGTCTGCGTCTGACATTAACGGGGAAGGTTAAAGTCGACCGGCGTTCCTTCATTGTGGTAGGCGCACAAAGCGTTTGGGTATCCTCTTTATTGTCTCTGGCGTATCTCTCCCAAGGCACAAACGCTAAGACATTTATCAGCAAGCAGTAACTGGGGGCATTCTACACATATACACGTTTAACTGAGAATATAAAACTTACGTTATAATTCTCCCCGCGATATTCTAAGCTCAGTGTTCTAACAATCCAGCTGCTCTTTCTTCCTAGAATCCAAGATGGTGCGTTGATTAATATGCCGACCTCAACGGCCTTATCCCATTTACTGGTTCGCAAACACCATTTGGGGGAGAAACAGAGGCAGATGTTCTCTCAGCACGCGCCGCGGGCCCTGTTACTAGAACACTTAGCGTGTTAATGCCCCGTAAAACATCCTTGATTAACTGCCAGATGTTAACCTTTTACTGCTTCACACATTAACCACATGATAATGACGTAATATGCGTCTGTCCTTATTTTAGGGAAATATTCTAATGTGTCTGACATCACTTCCTGATGAAATCGTCAAGCATGCAAGTTGGCGTTAAAATAATTCGCGTAAATTATATTCTTATCTATTATTTGTTTTTAAAAAGTTTCAGGACACCGCTTTTATTAAGTACAGGGTGTCTCATCATAATTTAGACCCACTAACATGACGATGATTTATTATTAAGACAAGAAACTGAGACAATATTACAAGTCTTTGAAGTTGGTATTATAACGTTAAAAAAGAACATTGATTTGATGTCTCCAGCTCAAAGAATGTATTTTTTACAGCATGTGTACTAGAAAGACCAAAACTCGCTGATGACACGTTTGAATTCGACGAGCGAGGTTGTCAATCGCCCTGACAGTATTCTTTCGGTATGACACGTTTATTTTTGGTGAGTCGTTTATTCTTGGTGAGTCGTTTATTTTTGGTGAGTCGTTTCTCAATGAAAAAAAACTAAAGGCGTTGTTTTGTTTTGCGCCAGCTGTGCATGGTGTGAAACAGATTCCTCAGCTATTTTTGTAAACATAGTGAATGTTATTACTCACTGAAGTAAATAAATAAGATACTTGTTGCAATAACAGAACTTGAGGTTTCAGTCGTTTTTATTTTGTTTTTTCTTTTCCCGTGAATTTTTTGGACCCAAGAAAAGACAAGAACAAAAAGATGTGGTGGAAATATTTTACCGCAGGTAACTCCACCTTGGCAAACCTTCAAACCAACAGGAGCCGTCAATGGGGACCACAGATGTACGACACTTTAAAACGCTGTCAAGCATTTTGTTTTCTGTTATAAAAGACCCGCAGGGTAAATGTATGTCTCACACGATGAAAAATTGTTTTGTATTTACTGTCCTTGCTAAAATGCACTTAATGTTAAAAGTGTCAGTAAAGCAGGTGACCGCCAGCCTTGGGCTCGTCATGGCGCCTCTAAGCATTCGATCACGTGATGGTCTAAACAATGTCGTCTGGTAAAAACCTAATCTTCAACTCTAACAACGTAATAATCATCAACGTGACGAAGTGATTAATTATTTTGGCATCTTTAATTTGATTTAAAGATATTGACGATGAGCCGCAAATAGGCTTTTCTACGATTTGTTTTCAGGAATGTCGGATTTACGTGACGCCGTTGCCAGCCATTTCACACGTCACTAAGGGTTCATTCCCAGTTAAAGCATCGATCCACGTAGATCGATCCAACTCTGCGGGGAGTCTCGCTGAATGCAATCAGATTAACAGGTGAACACGCCTCTTTCTGACGTTGAGTAGAATACAGAAAAGCTGGTGGTTATAAACAAGATGAGGCGTGTTAATTTGTTGATCTGATTGCATTTAGCAAGAGTCCCTGTAGACTTGAATCAATCTTTGTGGAATGCCAATTCCGTTGGAAATGAGTCCCAACTTTCATTTGTTTGTGTATTCCTATGTCTCGCATCACGTTGCCAGCCTCACATAGGCGCCTACTAAATCCTCGGCAAATGCTTCCATTTTAGAGGGTCCCATTAGGAATTTTATTTACCCATGAAAGCCACTTTTTATTTCCCGAGATGTATGAAACGTTTATATTATTTAGTGTGATCCGTGAAGCACCCAATTCCGCAACTCGTGAATGCGGCTTTTATTCTTCCATCGTCGTAAAACGAAGTTTTTATACCCTGTGTTTCGTGATTATTGCATTATCAGTAAGATAGAAGTAAAGTACTTATATTTGTGAATTAATGATATTTTTCCCGTGAACTGTGATCGCTATCCCCCAATGAGACCCTCTTTTTTTTGTGAGAGGCAAATAATTATCCAATGCTTTTAGCTGTTTTCTGTCAGCTTAAAAAACAACACTTTGTAGCAGGCAATAAAAAGGTTATAAAACAGACCCCAGTATGCGTCAAAATGCTTGAGGGCAATATATGTGAGAGCTAGGCTTTTAAATGGCAAATATAACCTTCCCTGGATTCATTAACTATTTCTCCTGTATAACCTATTTAAACCGTGTTATTATTATTATTATTATTATTATTATTATTTTAAAATAACGTTATAAAATAAAGTTATTAAAATAACTATAAAATAAGCAATACTAAATCATAATCTAGTCATTAAAGTTACAGTAGCTCAGTCAAGATATTGCTTCATTTAAGACATCTATAACATGGTAGTGTTATACAATTTATCCCTGTCTTTATAGTAAAATCACAATCTCGGAAGAGAAGCCAAAATTAGAAACAAAAGTCTCCTTGAAGTGATAAATTTGATAATGAATGTCCACCCCTTTTGGGAGACCCGGTGAAGACTCAAAAATTGTAGATCGAGGTACTTAATCTGGCCTCATTATTTTCCATCTGGCTCTTTTGATCTCTTCCACCAAAAACAGTTGCCACACCTGAGATAATTTCGTTATTTTAAACCAGTCCCAGGTCCAAGCTTTATGTAGCCTTCCAACCCGGAGAATATATACACATTCAGGGCAACAGTAACAAATATTAGAGTCCCTGTATTTAGCTTTATTGATCGTCACTTTATATTGGACAGATACATTTACGCTTACTAATAGTTTTACGGCACGCAGGAATCAGTACAATAGGAGAGAGATAGAGAGAGAGAGAGAGAGAGTGAGAGAGAGAGACCCCGGGAAACCGCCACGACTGTTCCTGCCTGCCTGACAGCCTGTAGCCCGTATGAGAGGAATGAAGACTACCTGAAACACAATTTTATCTGCTGTGTGTTTTCAAGCCGCCGTTCTCTCAAAAATTAGTAGCCAAACAAGGTTACACATTAAATGGATTGGTTTCGTAGCATAAGTTGGTTATGTAAGGACGAGCACCCGTAAACATGGTTAATTCTGGTTGTGGATAAACAATAACTTTAATAGAATTGTTAGGTGAAACTCCCACACCCATACAGCGTTGATCAAATTGGTTGTCCTACCCTCGTGATATTGATTTTTTTATAATGCCCTAGTTTTAAAAGGTACATGAATGATAATGTTTTATATTCATTCTTTATATTCATAAACATTTGACCTAGGTTATTAAATATGGAAGCTACAAATATAAGCTAGGGGAATGAGGAGGTATGCCAGTAGACGTTGCTAGCTTGGCTATAAAATTGGTGTTGTTGCCTTGATAGAAAGCGGACTGTTGTGGTAGATGAGATCTGACTTCCACCAAACTTCAGCTGGCACCATGCCAGGACCGGCTGCCATTGGCCCTAGGGGACCAGGGCCCTTAACTCGAAAACATCGCGTGTTGCGAATAGCGATATCACATAGAGGCTACAGTGTATTATATAGGACAAGTATGGGCGAGTTATGGAATCGAGACGCTTGCGCTCGGTCGCATCCGAAGACCCATCTTCAAATAGTCCTGAATCCACCCCTGCGACCTCATGCCACTGGCAGCCGTACTGGTTGTGTCATCAACGGCATACCAAGATATCTAACCAAACCATTGGATCCCATTGTTAATTATATTCCAGGACAACTGTCGATTGCAGGATGACATTGAGGACATTCGGAACAGCGGACTTACAGATCAACGGGTCAAATATGGCCGACCCGCTTGAATGCTTGTTGCTTAATCCCCGCGGTGAATCTATTTGGTGTCTAATCGGAAATTAAGCAGCAAGTTTTTAAGTCGGTCGCCATATTTGATACACGGATCTGTTAGTCAGCTGTTCTGAATGTGCCAAATGTTACCCCCTGTGCTACACGCTATCAATATCCTTTCTATAAACTCTGAACTGTTCACTATGTCGTTGTCATGTGAAGGAATAATTATATATTACTGAAAACAAACACACAATTTTATCATTATTATTATTATTATTTATCGGAAAGTGCTTTTTCTTTGTGTATATCCTTACTTTAATGTACCGATGAAAACTGAACATAATATCAGTACTATTATTTTTCACTCTGGTACCCGTAAATATGACAAAAAAAATCATTAATTTTTAGCACAGTGAAGAGTCGGAAAGAGATCTTTGTCTCTCTCTCTCTCTCTCTCTCTCTCTCTCTCTCTCTGTGTGTGTGTGTGTGTGTGTGTGTGTGTGAGAGAGAGAGAGAGAGATGTGACCTAAATCTCTTTGAATACTAGTCAATATTACAAATATTCTATATTTAAACGCTAAATCAACGTCTCCCCTTTCGTATAAAGCAATAAAAAGGTTTTTCTAAATGACCGCTCAATCCGTAACAGAAAAATGACAAAAAACTGCTATAAGCATTCTTTAAAATAAAAATTCTCAATTATTTCAAGAATTTCTAATTATATGATAACCTCAGTTCCAACACAATCTCTCAAATGCTATAAATTAGCCAATTTATATCCCTATCTTGCCACTTGACAGTTCAAATTTACCTACTATAAGTAAATATAAAGCGGCCTTGGGAGCTGCGGCCAATGGTCAAATCACAGCACAAATCCGGCCAATCTTTGTTGATTCCTGTATCTTATCAGCCCTGTCGAGGGCAAACCTGCGCCACTATTTACCCGGTTTACTGGCACAGTCTGATACAAATGTGTCAACATCAAAGGAAAAGACGCACCGTTTGACCTAGTTTTCACCGCGTGTTGGGAACAGATCCAGTAATAATAAGCCATATAGACCGTTCAGTCGACAGTTTTTCAAGAGCAATGGTTTCGCAACAGACAACTTAAGTTCTGTTTAATATAGGGGGCCTACAGTACATGACTTGTTCTCGACTATCTTACACATCAATTATAATATGATATTTAAAATCTTACAAATGCAGTTTTATTGTTTGAGTTCCCCCCTCCTATCCACAGGTCTGCAATCATCATTCCCTGTCCCTTAGTACATAATATAACGACCATAACTTCTGACTCGCTTGAATCAGGGCGACCCGACAGGTTACTTGCCTTTTAATGGACTATATAAAAGAGATGCTCCTACTGGCCAAGTTTTAATAAGTTTATAGATTTGCGAATGAGCTTGACCAACATTAAATT